CAATGGGTTTAAACTGCAGCAAGGGAGGTTTAGGTTGGACATTAGGAAAAAGTTCCTAACTGTCAGGATGGTTAAACACTGGGATAAACTGCCTAGGGAGATTGTGGAATCTCCATCTCTGGAGATATTTAAGAGTAGGTTAGATAAATGTCTATCAGGGATGGTCTAGACAGTATTTGGTCCTGCCATGAGGGCAGGGGACTGGACTCGATGACCTCTCGAGGTTCCTTCCAGTCCTAGAATCTATGAAAGTTTGACTTTATTCCCTCTGTCTGCGATCTCTGGGGCAGCACACAGCTTGAGAGGTGGAGGAATTGTCTTTTGGAGAGCGTCAACTTTTTGCTCCAAACATGCCTATTTGCAGCAAAAGGGTTGAGGCTGCAGTTGTGACAGATCCTTGACATCTCCTTATTGCCCAGCCTGACTGAATCCCATCAACACAATCCTCATTATTGCATGAGCTTTTATCTTTTTCCTAAAGAATGGGTACTGCCCCGGAAGTAGGTTGCACGCAAGCTACCATGAAGACCTGAAATGGGAGAGGGAGGAATGTGGATGAGAGGTATGAATAGCTAGTAAGTGTCCTGTGTTGCTTTGTTTCAGAATGCAATAATAGAGCGTGCTGGGCGGCGGTTGCTGATTCTGGGGGGATACAGCCTCATGGCAGTATGGGCCATCGTTTTCATGGTTGCTTTATCCCAGCAGGTAAAAAAAAATCTATTGAATTATCTAAGTGAAATGGATTCTGGTTATGCCTCTGACACGGATGGGGATATTAAGGAGGGGCAAGTAATTATAAGTGCCTTAACCTATATTCCCTTGTTCTCTGTGGAAATAGAGTCGGATTAGCTGGATGCCTTACCTCAGCATGGCCTGTATTTTCGCCTATATCCTGAGCTTTGGAATTGGACCAGGTCAGTTGTCTGAGGTTTTTCCCCCAACCCTGGTGCGATTGTGGGGGCTGAAGATTGTACTTAGCCACATCACATTTGAATGAAACAAAGGGACAATAAATTTCAAACACTCGCTACCTGTAGTTTCATCAGCAGTACTTGTAGGTAACTGTGGTTATGTCTCAGGGTGTATAGTGACAACCTATCATTCTCGGGAGCCATTTCTGTTTACATTCTCTTGGAGTCCTGAAGAGACAAAGTGTGAAAGGAAACTTGAAGCATAAAAACAACCTTGTCTAAGTAGTAACTTCTTGTCTAATTTGTGACAATAGTCAGCAGTGCCTGGATTTGCTAACCAGTCCATTAGGGCTGTAACCAAGTGCTCCTATTGCTTCACTCTTTCATTGTATGGCTTTAAAGGTTGTTGAGCTCTATTATTTTGTAATTTCTTTGAATATAAATTTAAACACGTATTTTCATGTGTTTTTTTAACTGATGAGCTTGCAGTTTTTCTCAGAACCAGGCAGTGTTTACGGGTGTGTGCATGCACGTGGTGTGTGTTGTGCTGGTCCATAATGTGGACATGATTCTCTGCTCATGTCAACATAAAACAGGTGCAAGCAAGAGGAGAATCAAGTCTAACTGTCATAAAATCATTTGGGTTGGAAGTAACTTCCAATGAGTCATCTAGCCCATGTCCCTGCAACGTCTCAGGGTTGATTACATTATTTTTAAGCTGCCCATGCCAGTCTAGCCTTCAAAATATGAAGTGATTCTGATTACAAAACCTTTCTTGGCAGCTCATTCCATTGCCAGATGGCTTATATAATCAGGCAGTTCTTAATATTTATCCTCAAACTTCCCTGGTGCAGTTATGTCCGTTACTATGTGTTCTGGCCGTGTTGACTAGTGAGAATAATTGGCAATGTAATCAATTAATAATTGGTCCCTGTCCTTTTTATATCCCAGTTACATATTTGTCAGCATATGTTTTCTAGTTTTAACGTTTCCGACATATTATAAACTTGTTTGCAAATTCTTTTTCTAGCTGGTGTGACAGGAATTTTGCCGACAGAGATTTTTGATCAACTGTCTCGTCCAGCTGCTTACATGATCTGTGGCTCTCTGCTCTGGTCCAATCTATTTGCAGTTGGAATGGCCTTTCCATTCATTGTGGTAGGTTTGGAAGCTGGTACAACCATCTACCGTTTTTTAGTTCACAAACAGGTGCTCCTGCACTGCCGCTTACAGCAACCTTGACTGGCAGAGACTGGGGCTGTAGTATTTGCACGTCTCGGGCAGCCAGCACTTCAGCTCTGTCGATGGTGACTTTGGCTAGAAGTTGTGCCTGGAGTAGCTGTGAGCTCTCTCTTAGCCAAGATTCCTACTGCTTCCCTATAGTGATTTCTGCTGGAAAAGGCTGGGGTTGGAATAGTTTTGAGTCCCTGACAGCCAACATTCCCATTCTGTCCCCAACTTGGAAAAGCTGGGAGAGGAGAAGTTATTAGCTGCCTCTTAGCCAGCACCCCTACCCTATCCCCTAAAGTGACTTCGGTAGGAAGAGGTTGGGACTGGAGAGACTGTGGGCTCTTCACAGTAAGTGCTCCTGTATTATGTCCAACAGTGAATCCTGAAAAGAGAGTCTGTTTTTACATCATTCTTTAGCATGAGCTATACTGAGGGTTAGGAGAAGATACAAAATGCCATATCTCCCAAACTTTCCCCTTCAGTAGCTACAATCTGTTGCCAGTCAGGACCAATGTTTATAACACAAACAAAGCAAGATCATATTGCCAGAGACAAATATCTTGTTGTTAGTCCTTTTAGAGGAGAGCTGCTTACTCATGTATGTAAGATCCTTAAGTCAGTGCAGAAATATTTCATGATTGAAGCTATTATATGTAGGAGAGGATTTGTAGAGGGGACTTGCCTCATACCGTGGTACGTTTCCAAAACTTTCCCTTTTTCCCCCCTGCAGGAAGGTCTTGCTCACTTCTGCTACCTTCCATTCTTCACGGTTTGTGTCTGCACTGCTCTATATGTCGGGTTTTTTCTTCCTGAGACAAAGGGGAAAACCTTCCTGGAAATCTCCAATGAGTTCAACAAGCGCAACTTCAAAGCTCAGACACGTGAGAAGTTTTGGAAAGGCCCTGAGGAAATCAAATCCACTATGTTATAGTCTGGGAATAAGTAAAGGTGGCTGGTGGTTGGAAAATATCCTGAGATGTTTCTCTTTTCTTGTTAGGGTGGAGACAGAAGAGGTGGGGGCTAGGGAGAAGACACTAGTCTTGGTTGTGTAGTGGAAAGTTTTCATACTAAAGCAGGAAGTTCAGCTGATGTTTCTTGTTCACTTCATTTGTTAAAAACAGTTTGCACTGCATTTCTGCTTAGAACTGTAGCATTTATTTATTCCACAGTGCCCTTTGCCATCTCTTGGGAGCATCCACAGTGATATGCTACTTTGACAAACCATTTTGAAAGCTTCTTTTAAAAAGAATGGATCACACTGGATATTATGATTCCATTTATTAATGGTTTATAAAGGGTTAATAAAATATTAATATATGTTATACATATTACAGACATGAGTACTATGCATTATAGATTGTTGTAAGCAGAAGGTGTTATAGATGGTTATAACTAGGGGCCTCATTAAATCACAATTTCATGGAGACCACGGAAATCGTAAATATGCCCTCGGGCCCCAAACCATGAATGGTAGTCAGTTTCAGGGACAGAATGAATTTTACAACTAAATTGAGTCAATTTCAAGATGGAATAAATTTTACACATAGTAGTCAATTTAAAGGGCGGGATGAATTTTACAAGTAATGTTAATCAATTTCAAGAATGGAATCAATTCCCAACCTTGAAATTGACTCAATTTAGTTGTAAACTTCATTCCATCTTTGAAATTCTCTAACATTAACTGTAAAATTCATTCCACTCAAACTCCATGAAATTCAGTACTCTGCCATTTAAACTGTTGTGGATTTTCTTAAAATAAATAAATAATAATAAAAAAATAATTTAAAAAAAGGCTCTAGTTAAAAGCCACCTATTGACCTTCTGGCCTCTGTAATAATCTATAATGTTTGATTAACCACATATTAAAAATCTGTCAATCATTCATTAACCCAATAATTCATTAATCTTCTACAAGCCTTTTATTCATGGAACAGAAAATTAAAGTATGAGCAAATAATGTGTTCATTTCCCCCCTCCCCTCTGCTTCCCTTTCTCCATCAAAGTCATCACTTTTGATTTATTTTTAATTTTAGACAAATACTAAAGAAATCTTTAGACGACTTTTATTTGGGGGAAATATACACCTAGCACTTAGTGACTTCTCACTGTTTTGTCCTGCACAATCAGCTTGTGTTTTCCTCTCATTTAGCTACCCCACTAGTTGTGGTTTAGATACATCATACATTCAGATAAGGGGCACTAATGCTGATTGTGTCAGTGATGAGATTCAGTTATTGTTTTTTGTAATCCCATCCACTCAAGTGCAGCACAGGGACGTTAATCTTTCTGAAGGAGAGTTAATTTTTAACTGCAATATGTTTTCCAGCCACATAAATATACAGACACATTAGGTGTGCAGAAGTACTCTGTCGTGCCTTGCGCCTCAGGTGCCCCAGGTGTGTATATACTGACTGTTGTGTCATCGTTCACATGAGACAAATGACTGATACATCTCAGTGAAAGTTTAACCATCAGTTGGTATTTTTCAAGGCTAAATGGCATATACTTGGGAACCCTAATTTAAAGTGTTACGAACTGGTTGTATATTCTGTTTCTCTCTGAACAGTACCAAACTCCAGTTTAATACTTAACTACATTTCTTCTTTAGCCCTTCTTCACCCAAACAATGTCTACCTCGCTATAATCCTCTCAACTCTTTGCCTCTAAACCTGACTCTGAAATAATTAATCATATTAAGGCCAATCTTAAGTTCTGTTTTCAGAAGCCAGATGACATTTTATTTCCTCATCTCAATGCTCATGTTTTTGATGGTATAAGTGATCTCAAATAGATGCCAACCTGTTGAACAATAACGGGCTGTTAATCATTTAACAGACTGGGAAGGAAAGCTCCTCCTCCTACTTAATCAGTGACTTGTTGTACACCTGACTTTTGGGCATTGCTTTTGGAATTATTTATTCTGAACTGGTTCTCTTCATGGCTTGCTCATAGTGGTTTATGTACATTTTAAAACGTATACAGCTACTTCTCTTGCACTGTTTGTATGAGAGGCACGTGGGCTCCCAGGGGTGCTCTTGATACTTCTCATAGGGCTTGGTTCTTCATGTAAGCTCTGCCAAGCTCAGAGTAGAGAGGGGAGCCAGTCATGGCCTCTGATTCTGTTATGTGCATCCGGCTCAAGCTCAAGCTGTAGCAGGCAGATGTAACTTAGGCCTGGTCCACACTAACCCCCCACTTCGAACTAAGGTACGCAAATTCAGCTACATTAATAACGTAGCTGTATTCAAAGTACCTTAGTTCAAACTTACCGCGGGTCCAGATGTGGCAGGCAGGCTCCCCCGTCGATGCCGCGTACTCCTCTCGCCGAGCTGGAGTACCGGCGTCAACGGCGAGCACTTCTGGGATTGAGCCGGGATCGATTTATCGCGTCTAGACAAGACGTGATAAATCGATCCCAGAAGATCGATTGCTTACCGCCGGACCCGGAGGTAAGTGTAAACCTACCCTTACACTGCCACTGCAGAATCAGATGTAGCAAAAGCCTTGTTCCACTCATTACATTCCCCTGTGCCCACTGCCTTTCCTCCTCACCATACAGGGCATGGAGGTTCTGGTAAAACCAGGTAATGAAGCCAGCAACAGCAGAGCAGCCTCTTCCAGCTTTACGCCCTCAGATTCCCCCTAGGTGTGGGTAATTTTCCAGTGGCGATCTCTGGCTGCTTTGGGTAAGCTGTGAAGAGTGAATTTGGCAGTCCAGAAAATCTGGCTCATAGACAGGAGCCCTTTCCATGGTACTGAGGTTTGCTAGCACTGAAATGTTATTGTATGTTACACAGCTAATGTAATATGCTGTATATTATCCCCTGCCTTAATGGGCCAAAAGGCATACCTCGTGTAAATCGTTTAAAGCTTCAATAAATCCATTTGACTTCAGTCCGGTCCACTCCAGAGCCCCAAAGCACTGACGTGCCGCTGGTGTCTCTCACTGTTTTTGAAAGGCTTGACAAGGGTAACTGGTTACTTTGGGGGTTATTCTTACCAATCTTTGCTTGAGAGGCTACAGTGAAACTGCCTTTTCTTCTTCTCTGTGACACTCTGGCTTTGTGTGTCTGCCTGGCTCCTGCAACCTGACCAGTCCCTCAAAAGCCAAAAATGAAATGCTCACAATACGTCAGGGACATGCTCAGCATCTGGCAGCCAAGTGACAGAGGTGTGCCAGACTTCAGACATCTTTGGTGTCATGCTCCTGGCTGCCCTCCAGACATTGTGCTGTGTCAGTTAACCACTCACACGGTAAAAGTGTTGTGAGCTTGCTGCTTGGGTTAACAGGAGCCCAGAGGAACAGTCCCAGGGAAGCAGGAGCTCGTAGGGACAGCAAACTCCGCTTCCAAGCTCTGATTCAATTTTCTTTGAGCATTGCATAGATTTCAATATGACTAAACATTATGCATCTTGCCCAGCAGTTATTCCAGCAGTGGAATCCTATGTTTCACCTTTGAATCACTTACTTCTTAGGGACAGATTTTTACAGGTATGTAGGCGCCTAGTGAGATATTCAAAAGCATCCAAGGGCCTAGCACTAATTGAAATCAATGAGTTTTAAGCACCTAGGTGATTTTGAAAAATCCCCTTAGATGCTTAACTCTCTTTAAAAATCTGGCCCTTAGTGACCAGGTATTAAATGCATCTGTGCTTATTAGTCATAGGGCTTGAGACTAACATTTGCTCTCTCAGTCACATCTTGTCACATCTTTAATTGTGCAATAAGAAACTTGGCTTTGGGCTGAAGCATTTCCTGTAGATTTATCTACCATAAGTGTTTTAAGGTCGCTAGCATTGTGGTACTTGTGCACCAAATTGTAGCTGTCATGGTCAAGGATCTTCCCAAACAACCCCACTTTCTCTTACAGTGCATGAAATGAAAAAGCACAGTTAAAAGTTCCTGGAAAACGGGTATCACTGGCCAGATGCCAGAACAATGTAGCAGCTTGTTTGTGTTAGGTGCGTTGTGTTCCAACAGTAAGCAGGATGTTCCCAACAGTGAAAGACTCCAGGATAGTTCCATCATCTGTACAATCAAAAGTCCCATATACTATACTAACCATTTCAGCAACCCGAGTGCAGGACATGGCCAGGGCTTCTCGTTTAGTACATACCTATTACTGTAGCTGTTGGGCATGTCTGTGAGCTCCACCTGTGTTCTCCTCCAGTTTCTATTTATAGCCTGCAAGCCATAATCCATCCAGCTCTTCTCTTCTGATTTTGCTTATGTAAAAGCTACAGTACTGCTGCTGGCTAGTCACAAAGGAGCATATGCAACAGAAAGAGAAATTTGTTGCGAAACAGCTTCATTTGTACAATTATTTTAAAACCGTAGAGTTTAAAAAAACCAGTATTCTTGAATGCAGTGAATTTAAATGTAAAATCCTGAACGTCTGTTAATATCATGCTGGACATGAATGGAAAGGAAGATTTGTTTTGTAGAAAAGGAAGCTGCATGAAAATTATTCTATATTTTAGTATCTGTATGTAATATATGAAAGGATAAATCTGAAAATTGTTCGGTATTATTGTTATTGTTGAATTGTCTTTACACACACACACACACACACTATTTATTTACCTATTGTTTGTGAAATCTTTGCTAGTAGACAGCGTAAGTGACATTTCATTTATACAATAGTACACAGACAGTGGGGCAAAATCATAATCTTTCAAAAGTGCCAGCAGAGCTTTCATTTTATTATTTGTTAAACCTCTACCCTGATATAACGCTGTCCTCGGGAGCCAAAAAATCTTACCGCGTTATAGGTGAAACCGCGTTATATCGAACTTGCTTTGATCCGCCGGAGCACGCAGCCCCGCCCCCCCGGAGCACTGCTTTACCGCATTATATCCGAATTCGTGTTATATTCGGGTTGCGTTATATCAGGGTAGAGGTGTATTTGTATTGCAGTAGTGCTTCCGGGCCCTGGTGAATTATCAAACTATTGTATTAGGCACCACATGAATGTAACATGCAGCATGGACTTGACCTTAGGTTTTAAAATCACACCAGAAACACCGTCACATGACTAAACTGCATGAAATTCAATGTCTCTACTTCAGAAGGCTGAAGGGCTGAACTGCTGATGGGAATCAAAGCTGTGGTGCTAGGGAATTTAGGTGTTTCAAACCCGAGAGCTGAAATAACTGAGACACGGAAACCTGGTGCACCACTGAATTTAACAATCTTTCACTTCAGCATGCAACAGAAAGTGAGATTTTAAAGTGGCTGGTGGTCCATAAAGTGCTGCTAAAGAGATAGCCGGGCTCATGGGAGAGGAAGGGGCTGTAGGGAGGAGGCTCCAAAATGTCCAGTAACCTTACAACAGTTTGGCAGAATAATTTGAAATAGATGTGTTAAAAGGAGTAAAGAAAAATCAGAGTTTCTAACTATTGTCCCTCCTGATTTCTTCTATCCACGGCTCTGACTATGTAGTTGAAAGATTATTTGGCACATGCAAGCAGACTAGCTGTATAGTAGTACACAAACATACCGATCTACATTATATATGTCAGAGGTTCTCAAACTGGGGGTCGGGACCCCTCAGGGGGGTCATACGGTTATTATGTGGGGGGTTGCAAGCTGTCAGCCTCCACCCCAAAACCCGCTTTGCCTCCAACATTTATAGTGGTGTTAAATATATTAAAAAGTGTGTTTAATTTATAAGGGGGGTCACACTCAGAGGCTTGCTGTGTGAAAGGCGTCACCAGTACAAAAGTTTGAGAATCACTGATATATGTGCACAAACACACCACAGACAAGTGTGACTTCATGAAGGTGCTATAGAAGGTGCAAATTAACATGGCACACATTAAATGGATTAAAAACTGGCTAACTGACAGGTCTCAAAATTTAACCCTAAATGGAGAATTGTCATCCAGTGGGGTCCCATAGGGATTGGTTCTTGACCCTATGCTATTTAACATATTTATCAATGACGTCGAAGAACACATAAAATAATCACTGATAACGTTTGCAGATGACACAAAAATTGGGGGAGTGGTAAATAATGAAGAGGACAGGTCCCTGATTCAGAGAAATCTGGGTTGCTTGGTAAACTGGACACAAGCGAACAATATGTTTTAATATGGCTAAATATAAATGTATACATCTAGGAACAAAGACCATAGGCCATCCTTACAGGATGGGGGCGCCTATCTTGGGTGCAGCAGCTTCACCTCTGAAAACACACTGCCCACAGAAATATTGAGTTCAAATCTTGGGTCTCCTAACACGAGCAGTTTACCTAATTTGAACTGTTACTTAAGGAGAGGCCCTGTCTAGAATTACAGACAAAAATAAAGATATTCTGTTTCATCGCCATCTATCATACGGAGTGTTCCTACATGCTTAACTGTTGAACTTTTCTTTCAGACAGAGAACTTTAGCCTTAAACTAGTGGCTAGCCCTTCAAAAGGCTGTGTGTGCACATGCCTAGGTCATTTCTCGTATCTGAATCAGGACTTCATCCTAACAGCTAGTTACACAGACCACAAAGAAGCCCTTGAGTTACACAGACCACAAAGAAGCCCATCCAGGGCAGGTGAGAATACTGCTCACCAAAAAGTGTTTTAACATTATAAAAGAAACTTTCATGATGGGCTAATTTGCATTTAGATCCACATTATGGTCACAGTAGAGATGTACCTTACAGGAGAATTTTATGTGCTGCCCATTTCCGTACGACAGTTGGAAAAAATAAAAAATGTAAATTTAAAACACTCAAATTATTCATATAATATTAATATGTAAAATTATTAATAATGGTTGCACTTAGGTTTTTTCCTAGTTATAAGCATGTCCTCTTGTGAATTTTTAAGATGCCACAGTTACTCATGTTTACTTCATAGTCTTCTCCCTCCTCAGAAAAAGACACACTTGTAGCCCTGAGTTCTTCAGAGTGCAGCTATAAGCATATACTACATTATTTTCAAAGCTGAGGAATATTTTCCTATCTATAGTATCCATTGCATGCAGCCTACCAGTATTTTTAGCTATGGAAACCTTTATTACATTTTGGCTGGAGGGAATGGTCAAATGTTATTTATTTAGAAGGTGTTGATTGATTACTCAAGGCA